CAAAGACTAGAAGGCAGAAGGCCACAAACACAGTAAGGATAAGAACTACGAGAATGCTGAGGATCATAATGGAGAGAGGCACAGGCCCTCCTGGTGGTGCTTTGCCAACTCCGGCAGGCGACACTGAGGTCAAAACAGGGGTGGTGCTAATGAGGATAAACGGTGGTCTTGCAACAAGTTTAGGACACAGGATCTCATTTTTCAAGAGGCGCAGCTCTATGTTGGAGAACTGTACAGGGGAAGCACATTTCACCTCTTTGGCAGCCACTCCATCACTTAGCTTCTCTAGCCAGAGTTTGAGGGCGACAAGATCGCAGGAACACTCCCACGGGTTCCCTTCCAGGTCTATCTGGGTCAATGATCGCAGCTGGTCCAAGACACCACTCACTGGCAGGGTCATGAAGTGGTTGTTTTTCAGATTCAGTCTGGCTAAAGAGACACCCGCAAACACGTAGGCGGGGAGACTCCGCAGTACGTTGTTGTTGAGATACAGGAGTTGTAGGTTCGGCATGGAGTCAAATGTGCCTGCTAAGATTTCTTTTATGGCATTGTATTCCAAATATAGGTACTGTAGGTTTGATAGGCCCAAAAACATCTCTGGGTGTAACTGTTCAAGCTGGTTTCCATTCAAGTACAGTCTCCTCAGGTTAGTGAGGTTAGCAAACACGCCTTTCTGGACTGTGACAATTTGATTGCTGCCAAGATGAAGCAAATCTAAACCCTCAAACCCTTGGAAATCAGCTGGGCTTATGTCACGGATGTAATTTCCACTCAGGTGAAGTTTCTTGGCATTTGGGGGTTTGGGAATGAGATCAGCTAAGTTTTTAATATTCCTCTCTTGACAGCTGACACTAATGCCAAAGTCAGAGGGGTGGGCTTTACAGCTGCAGGGCTGTGGACACAACAATGGAGGAGTCCGTGTCTGAAATGAAACAATCTGGCTATTTCTTCCAAAAGGGGGTAAACCAGCCACAATACCATTACCATAAATCTTAGATGAGTCAGTGGTTTTTGGCGCTTTTGTGGCTATGGGAACCACAGTGGTTGGGGACATTTTGGAGGGAGACTGCCCATTATCAGGCGGTACAGGTGGCATCCTAACGTCAAAGTCACTTCCTGTTCCCATGGGACAAAGCTCCTGTTTGTTGGTTTCTTTCAGGAGTCTCCCATACAAGTCGCTTGGTGTTTCACATATGGCCTCACCGATAAAAATGTTATAGGGCATGTTTTCAAGCCATGCTTTGAGAGGTGCTAAATCACAGGTACAATTCCAGGGATTATCATCCAGCTGAAGCTCTACAATGCGCCCAATATGCTCTAGAACCCCCAAATAAGGAAGCTTCTGGATCCTGTTTCCCCTTATATCCAGATGTGTGAGCGAGGCAAAGCGAAATATGTTGTCAGGAAGTGCCTGTATGAGATTATCATTCAGGATGAGCACTTTAAGCTTGTGCAGTTTGTTAAATGCTCCCTTTTCAATGTATTTTATCAAGTTGTAGTCAGCCTGAAGATATTCCAAGTTCTCTATCCCTTGGAAAGTGTCTGCTCGCAGCACCTTTAATTCATTATTGTTCAGGTGCAGCTGTTTTAACGCGCTCATCCCCAGGAACGCTCCACCTTCGATGTTCTGCAGTTTATTGTTCCCTAGCTGCAATGACACAGCGTGGGTGAAGTTGAGGAATGAGTTTGGGTAGAGTATGATTAAGAAGTTGTTCTGAAAGTTCAGGTGGTATAAGGACGAGGCCGGTGGAATGAGCTGCGTGGGTCGATAGACAGTGATCTTCTCGCAGTTGACGTATAGCACGTTTTCCACCGACATGCAGGAGCAGGCGCTGCAGGTCTCGGCCATCAAGTCCGAGGCGGACGGGTCTGCCATCTGGGGTCCGTCCGACATGGAGGGGGAGGAGAGGGAGGAGGAGAGGGAGCCGGAGATGGAGGAAGAAAAGGCTGCCAGCAGGAGTACGAGCAGCATCTCGCCGGTTAGAAATCCTCCCCCAGAAAACCATTTAGTAACCTTTGAAAAAAAAAGACAGGTGCATGCACAAACATTCACACACACAGGCGTACGTATGTGCAAACAAACCCAGAGACGCACAGACACACACGCAGAAAGCAAACCATCAAAAGGCATATTTGATTGATTCTACTGAAATTGCAGTATTTCATAGTTTCTTTTTTTTATATTAATCCTAAAAACCACATCAGGGATGTTATTATTACCTTTTTTACTATAAATATAACATTGTGTTAATTGCCGTGCCGATGCACATTTCTAATCAGTGCACTTTTTATTAGAATTATTGCAGTGAGTTGCTTTGGCTTTGACACAATGATTCACCCTAATCACTGGACAACACAAATGCTTGATGCACATTATTCAATACTGCAGGAAAAGTACCATATGCTCTGGAAATTACTCAAACCCATTAACTGCTGCACAACTATGCATCCTATTGTGACATCCAAAGCATGAAGCATCGTCTTAGAAAATGTTCAAGACAGCATCACGACTATATTCTTCCCCTCTCAGCAGATTCAACATAATCAAAGTCAAACGGCTGCAGTTCTCTTTTTCATGGGGGTCTTATTTGAAGCCAGCAGCACCACCACCACTAAGTAGCACATTCAGGTTATTTAGCAAAGCAACTGTGAGAGCAAGGCAAGGAGGAAGAATTGGGACTGTGCCCATTGCTGACATATTGAGAAGGTTTGAGCGGCACTCATTTATCACACAGAGAAACATTTTTATTTATTTTTTCCAGATTTGACACCAAATATAAAAAGAAAGAAAATTTCCCTCAAACCCATACATTTTAGAAACCGGGTCATTTTATAGGAACACAGATGGAATCTACATAAACTGGACTTACCCAAAGCTGAAGTGGTAATGAATGCGGCTCCCTCTGGAGACACGGGGCAGCATTGGTGAGACATGGATGAAGACGTGCGCAAACAGTCCTCCCAGTTGAAGTAGAACACAGACAGTTATAGGGGCGCAACAAGGTTTCTCCAGCCCCTATATCCCCATGCAGGCTACTGTATATCAACCCGAGCCAGGCAAACTGGAGGGGGGTGCGGTGGAGATGGAGAGAAAGGAGAGGGGTTGGGGGGGTGGCTCCGATTTCACCCGATGCGTCTCTTGCTGACGGGCTCCTCTTGCTTGGAAAAATCACCCCTCTGGTCGTTCGGTCCCCAAGGTGGTTGTACTACCTCCATGGGAGAGCATTCATTTAGTTGCAGGATAGATGGAAAAAGACTGGGAGAAAGGAGAGAGGAGGGAGAGAGAGAAATAGATAAAGACAGAGGGAGAAAAAAGGGAGAGGCAGACAGGCTTTCAGAGATCTTGACGGCGCGTCCGGCGACTCCAAGGCGTGAAAAAAGGCGCAAGGTGGTCGGCGATGCGGTGGAATAAGTCCGTCATTATTAAGAGTTTTTTTTAGGAGGAAACTGGAGGAGGAAGATGGGCAGAGTAGAGAAGAAAAAGGGGGAGAGAGGATGGCCAACACTGTGCGTCTGGCTTCAGCTCGGCTCAGCAACCCCCAACGATCCAACGAATAAAAACTGGTTTGTTTCTAGCGAAGTTGCGCACCGGGATAATGCTTCAGAGGGCAAAAGCAGCCAAAACGCTCCCATCAGGTTAAGTGGATCAGTATACTATTTTCCATCGAGGCAGCATAAATCCAGTCCTTTGCTCCGACCCCGTGCAAAACAGTTATTTTCTCTTCAGCGATCAGTTTGTTTGCACTCAGCTGCAGGAGAGACGCTTATTTCAGTCTCCATCCAACGGGAAGGGGTTTTTTATAAAGGGACGGAGGTAACAATAATGGCTATGGCTGTATCGAAGCTCCTCTCCCGGACAAAAAAAAAAGCGGAAAAGCACAGAGAGAAACAAGAGAAACAAGTCAGGAGAACAGAAACCGGTGCGTAAAAATGAATAATGCAGTTATTCAGCCTTTAGTCCGCTGCGGTGCCAGTCAGGAGCTGGAAACTCCGCGCTCTCTCCCGCTGCCATCGGTCCACACGAAATGTAATCAAAATAAACTTGGAGAGGAAATGTGGGGATTTTTTTTAAAAGCCAAGGATATCCAGTCGGAGGAAATGGAGGGAGTTAAAAGAGAGGAAAGCGAGCTTGTGTTTCTCCCTCCTGTAAGACAGAACAGTATCCGTGTCAGGCGCATAAGTATGCTGGCTCTTTCTGCAGCCGCATTCACTGAGCTTCCCACACGAATAAAAGAGGAGAATGCAGAGATGTAGAGAGAGAGAGGAGGAGGGAGGGAGGGAG